TTTTTTTTTTTTTGTCTTTTTTGAAACCTTGTGCAGGGGAGTATCACACAGAGGCCCTCTTACCACAGCCGCTTCATGACACTTGCGTCCGTTTGCAGGGCCAGCACCAGCCCTCAGCTGTGGCACAGAGCCAGTGTCTGCACACACCCAGAAGAACCAAGTGATTCACCTCTTCTGCAGTTGGAAGTACTTCACAGATGCATCCATAAAACCAGAGGGAATTTGCTAAGGAAGGAAGTTACTCAGATGATTTCAAAAATAAAACACCAAATTAAATGTTTTTGCAGAAAAAGAAGACAGGAGTAGATTCATACAGAATATTTCTCAATTAAGGAGCACGAGTACCTTTATCGGTAGTAGCGTTTTTCCAGTTTCTAACAAAGCAACCTGGCTGATTGTTGTATCCAAAGATATGGACATGCCAGATACTCTGCCAACTATTTATAGATGTCTACATGCGGTTCCAGACTCCCCTCTGCCTGGGACACAGCGGTGAACATTAGCCCTGAGGTACTTATATTCTGATGGCGTGGGAGGCTCACACCCACTCCCAGTCCACACTTGCTGTACGTCAAAGCCACATGCCCAGAAATCCAGGCATGGCCTTCCTCCTGACTTCCAGCCTTTCCCGGACCCCCCAGACAAGCCAAGATGTTCTGGACAGATCTTAAATCTATTAGGTGAGTCTAAAGGCATCTGTGGCACTGGTTCTTGGTGAGTGTCTGAGTGGTCCCAGAGGTGAGATTTGGGATGGCCCAGCTCAGAGCATGCCGCTGGGGGGCACATCCTGGGACAGGATGTCTGTCAGGCATCTGAGCTGCAGGGACAGCAGGGCTCTCTATGAGCTCACAAAAGCAACCTGCTGAGGCCGGTGGGGCTTCCGCACCCCAGCACCGTGTCCCCATGGGATGTTTCTTTCATCTGGCCACCTCCCATCCAGGGGCCGTGAAGGCCTTTGGGGAGCAGCAGCCTCATTGGGTCTGTGGTCTCGACAGCTGACCAACATCATACCACGTGGACGTCTTCAAAGACAGACACTAAAAAGTGGGATTGCAAAACTGAGGACTCAAGAAAAGCCAGCCAGCATTCCCGGCCAAACCAGGTGGCGAGTTGGACAGAGGCAAGGCGGGGGCTTCCTGTTTCTCTAAAGCATATTTTTTCCCAGATGTAAGAGGACAGATACTGTATGTATGATTCCACTTTGGTCCTGGAGGACCCAAACTCATGGAGACCAAGCAGAGGGCAGTGGCCAGGGCCTGGGAGGAAGGGCACAGTCAGCATTCAGTGGGAACAGAGTTTCTTGGCGAAGACGGAAGAGTCCTGGAGGTGAATGGTGGTGACAGTGGCACATCATGTAGATGTACTTGACACCATTTAAAAGTGTCTAAGATGGCAAATTTTATGTTTTACAATAAAAAGTGATGGAAATATTTAATTTGAATCTATGATTTAATGTATGCATTCATTATGCCCCTTGGCATCTTCTCTCTGTTGAAGGGCCACTCACCTTGCAAGGCTGTGAGATGCTAAGCAGGACTGTCTGCAGTTCTCCTTTGGAGGCCACATCACCTAGGACAGAGCCCTCTACAGCATAGTGCTGGATGAACGCTGTTTGAAAGAAAAAACATGGATGAACAAGTGGGCTCAGAATCTCCATGGCACTGGACCGTGATTTTTCTAAAAGTATGTTCAAACAAAATAGTCACAGCAATGAGCATTATCAAGGGCTTTGTATGAGAGTAAATAAGATTTTCAACACAAACAAAAAAGATAAGTACATATTTCTAGCCACGTTGAAAGTCCCTGTCTGAGTCCCCCACGTGGCCCTCACCTCACTCTCCTGAGAGATCGGGTGAAACATGAATGTGCAAATGAATAACTTCCCTCCTGGTCCATGTGCTGAGTTTTTCCCACTCTGAACACCAGGGGCATTTCACACAGTGAGACTTTACAGCCCCTAGACGGGTTCGGGAAGCACCTCAAGTCGTTTCAGCTCAAGTGCTCCCCTCCTGGGTGTCTTCTTCCTACAGGACAAGACAGGAAGTGATCACTGCTGCCTTCCCTGCTGACTCCACTGTGACTCTTCCACAGTAACTCGACTTCAATTCAGCTGCTTCCTTGTGTGAAAGTGTGCTCATTTTCTGGTAAAGATATTTAAGGGATAGGAAACTCGACAGCAAAAGAAAGGAACACAAGAGAGAAATCCTGGCACGTGTAAAGTCAGAGAGCACATCTGGCGCAAGGGACCAAAATGTCCCCTCCTTCTGTTTCCTTGTCATTGCTGAGTAACATTCTGCATGTCCACAAATTTCTACCCTTTTTTAAAAACATCTGTCATTATGGTAACAATCCAACCACTGTGTGCTCTAGTCATTTTTAGCAAAGAACATATTAGTTGTTTTCTCTGCAGAACAAAACCAAAGTCTCATCTAAATAAAAATTGCCTACAAAAGTAAGTGCTATTTCCTGCTTAGTATAGCCGACATGCAGGAGCTTGGACAGGGCTCCTGCCCTGCTTCCTGAGGTGTTCCCAACATCTGTGGAGATCTCAAAATATGAAACCATAGTGGGAAAGCTCTTCCTGTGCTTCAAGACACAGAAGGACAGAACCTGTCACCCATGACAACATCACAAAAAAGAGTCTGAAAGGCCTCTGGCCACAAAACATTGAAATATGCTATATGAGAATAACAAAAACGGCCTTCCATGCAAAGCAGGGATGAACACCTAAGGAAGTGTTGGCACTTTGGCTGCCTGGGTAAGGGGGACCTGTATGGGACAGGTCACCTCAAGCTGCCTAACCACAGCCACACTTCATATATGTTTGTAATTTTAATTTACTCACCTGTACAGCATAGGAACCCAAGTCAATTAATTAATAGTCTTAGTCTATTCAGAGTGCTTGCTAAAGCAAATGAAAAATTTCCCTAAAGAAACAGAACTTCAAACTCTGTTACACAAGATTCCCCTGATAAACATTCTTTGAAATATAAGCTTAACGATTAAAAATCACAAAATGTGGGCTGGGGATTTGGCTCAAGTGGTAGCATGCTCACCTGGCATGCACGGGGTGCTGGGCTGCATCCTCAGTACCACATAAAATAAAGATGTTGTGTCCACCGAAAACTAAAAAATAGATATTAAAAACAATTCTCTCTCTCTAAAAAAAAATCACAAAATGCTTTAAGAGGCATGAACAAGAGTCTGCTATGAATAGAGGCAACAAACCCAACAAGTAAGGCAGGTCATGAGCCCCAAGAGCCCTAGGAACATTAGACAATACAACTGTCAGGAAGAGCCAGCGAGTGGTGGCTGAAATAATCAGAATGTAAAGGGAGAAATCGGAATTATGAGAAAAGAATCAAACTCCATTTAAAAATACCAGGCATGTTTGAAAAACAACTATATATACCTTCTAGTAGTAAAGTCTGTTTCCTTAAAAAATAAAAACTTGGGCTGGGATGTGGCTCAAGGGGTAGCGCACTCGCCTGGCATGTGTGCGGCCCGGGTTCGATCCTCAGCACCACATACAAACAAAGATGTTGTTTTCACCAAAATCTTAAAAAAGTAAATATTTTAATTCTCTCTCTCTCTCTCTCTCTCTCTCTCTCTCTCTCTCTCTCTCTCTGTCTCTCTCTGTCTCTCTCTCTCTTTAAAAAAAATAAATAAAAATAAAAACTTAATGAATGCGCTAAAGGTCACTAAAGAGAAAATTGGTAATCCAGGGAATGCTTTGGAAAGAGATGTGGGAAGAGATGACCTACAATATAGAAAAAAAAAAAAGACAGATTCTTTAAATGAAAGAGAATCTGAAAACATAGAAGATAAAATGAGACACTCTAGTGTACCATTACATAGGAACTCCAAAAAGAAAGAATGTGCAAGAGCCAGTATTTTAAAAGATAGTGGCTAAGAATTTATTAGAACAGAATAAAAACCAGATTCAGGAAGCACAATTAATTCAAATCAAGATACAAAACTCTAGACATATTGTTTGAAAAAACTGTCAAAGGGCAAAAATCGATCAGGAAAAAGATTACTTTCAAAGAAACTGGGGTTTTTCGACAGCAGACTTTTAAATAGCAACAATAGAAGCTAGAAGTCAGTGGAATATTTACAAAGCACTGAGACTTAAGGAATGATCTTACTCAGTTTGCAAGCTAAAAATAGTAAAGAGACAAACTAAGACTAAGCCACTGCACATGCCTAGAGTTACTCATGAGTTACATCTGTAGAAAGAACTGGATTGGCAGGGTGTGACCTGGCAGTTATAATAGTACGCTGCTCTTTGTCAAATAGTCTGCTGTCACCAACTTGAAATTTTTTATAATTTTTGAACAGAGAGCTTGGTAGTTCTACATTTCACTGGGGCTTAAAAATTATGCTGCTTGGGCTGGGGATGTGGCTCAAGCGGTAGCGTGATCACCTGGCATGCATGCAGCCCAGGTTCGATCCTCAGCACCACATACAAAGATGTTGTTTCTGCTGAAAAATAAAAAATAAATATTAAAATTCTCTCTCTCTCTCTCTCTCTC